GGTGGAGGTGTGTTCTGATTGGTTAAGGAGCCTGGCTGTGCTCTGATTGGCTGGGGGGTTCGCTGTGCTCTGATTGGCTGGGGGGTTTGCTGTGCTCTGATTGGCTGGGGGAGTGTTCTGTTTTGGTGGGGGCTTTGTTGTGCTCAGGTTAGTTTGAGTTGCAGGGGGATTTGAGATGGTGAGCTTCATTGCTGTTGTTATATATATAATGCTCGCACAAGCACGAAGCCGAAGACCCCAGCCTGAAGATGATGAGTGGGACTTCGTCAAAGCGTCGCCAAGATACTCTCAATCTTACATGGGAAAAGACCCGAATACACCAAGACCTGCATACCTGTACTCGTGAAAATCTACGAAAACACACACACACATATATCTATATATCTATATATATCTATATCTATATATCTATATATCTATATATCTATATCTATATCTATATCTATATCTATATCTATATCTATATCTATATCTATATCATCTATATCTATATCTATCTATATCTATCTGTCTGTCTGTCTGTCTGTCTGTGTGTGTGTGTGTGTGTGTGTGATTTTATGGTATAATATACAATCTATCATCTCTTTAAAGAGATCTCTAGTGTATACTTGTTAGACCAGAACTGGGGGGAACTAATTGGAGTTCATTCCATTTGAAAAGTTCGCTGGATTACTTCCAATAAATCATTCTTTCTTAGCCAAACTTACCTGCAAGGATTGTTTAGTGGAAAAACAGGAAGCAGGAACATATGCGGTTTAGTTTAGTAATTAAATAATTGAGACATTACAAAAAACTATTAAATCTCTTAATACAAGAAGTCACACTAAAATTAAAATCAAGTTATTTCAATCAAATATATTAAATGCGAAGAAATCATATCTGCAAATACTAAATCATAGTTGCACCATAGTTATTTAAAAAAATAAATAAATGAGTGACTGCAAAAATGTCATTTAATTCTTATTTTTTCTAGTATTTTCATGAGAGCCTTTTGTAGGTCCTTGTTCCTAAAGCTATAAATAATAGGATTCAAAACTGGTGGCAAAGCAGTGTACAAAACAGCAGAAAGCAAATCCACAGATGGAGTAGAGAGTGATTTGGGTCTCATATAGGAAAATACTGCAGTGATAATAAATAAAGAAAAAACAGTTAGGTGGGGAGTGCAAGTGGAAAACACTTTATGCCTGCTTTGAACTGTTGGCATTTTCAACACTGCAGAGAAAATATGGATATAGGAAGCAAAGATGAATGCAAAAATAAAAGAATCCAAAAAGAATCCAACAAGTATCACCATTTTACTAACTTTTGTATCTGTGCAAGAAATCTTTTGTAATTGAGGAATGTCACAGAAATATTGGACAATCGCATTGGACCCACAAAAGTTTAATTTAAAAGTCACACTAGTTTCTAACACTGCATGGATCAGATTGCATATGAAGGAGATTGCTACCATTTGAATGCAGGCATTCCAGTTCATGATCAGCCCATAATGCAGAGGACGACAGATGGCTACATAACGGTCATAAGCCATGATGGTTAACAGAGCAAGTTCACCACCAACAAATGTGACCATTAGAAAGACCTGAGTGACACATCCAGTGAAAGAAATCCCTTTGTTGTTTGTCAATGAAACAGCTATGGATTTTGGAACTGTTGTGGAGATGGAACAAATATCTAAAAGGGAGAGATTGACCAAAAAGAAATACATGGGAGTATAAAGGTGGTGGTCAGCTGCCACTACTATTATAATGAGAAAATTCCCCATTAAGGCTGTTATGTAAACCATAAGGAACATCACAGAATGCAACATTTGCAAATCTGGGTCATCAGAAAATCCCATCAGAACGAACTCTTTCATAGAAGATTGGTTGGCCATTTCATGTATTTGAATCCTGTAGAAAGTAGTTAAATGAGTTAGTGAAGAATATAATTTTTATAACATTTCCCCCTCCATTTTATAAATTTCTCATCTAACAATATTGGAATATTGGAATATCAATAGTGCGTCTGTTGTAAAATCTATTTTTTATTATGTAGAAATTGCAGCAGAAGATAGTTACATAGTCACTGAGATCAAATAAAATGTACAGTGTACAGTCACCATGGGCTTTACATCTTAACAGTTTTTAACTGTCACAACTGTCTCAGGAAACTCTCATCAGAACATCAAGGAACCATAGATCCATAAAATAGATGCTAACTAAACACTGCCATTTACTGCTGATTAATTATGTAGTTTTGTAATATGAAATGCATTGTAACAATGAATTCCATCAGTGTCCCATAGCCCATATTTTACCAACATTTCCAGCTTTGAGGACTGGCGGGGATAGTTCGTGCAAGAGACCGGCAAGCACGCATGTGCAGTTCCATTTGTGTGAGCAGTATGCACATATGCCTGCCGTTCATGTAAATGGGGTGCACACACCCACATTTGCCTACTACACAGGCATGTGAGGATGTGCATGCTCATGCACACACTCACCGGCCATTTCCATAACCCAGTTGCAAACCCCTCACAGCCCTCTAGTGGCCACGGCCCACAGGTTGGGGACCCCTGCCATAGCCAACAAATTCTAATGAACTTTCATATAAATCACTTATCTGCAATACTTTAAAAACAGTTCTTCTCACTATCAACGCTACTGCTTCTTAGTAGAAAATAAAATTATATATTGAAATGTTTAATATTGATCAATTTGGCCCCAGGCTGAGACAATTTTATAGTTTATCCATGTAAACAATAGAATTGATTTGTATAATACTTGACCAATCAGAATTCAATCTGCTTGAAAGATTAGAACTTAAATATTCAGGTGGCAACTCGATTTTTCTATTGTATGTATAAGTGAGGCCAAGAAGAAAAGTTTCAATTCATCATTCCCATCCTATTATAATTCAAATTCTAACTGTCTTCTTCATATTTTATAACACCAGGACTATTTGCTTTGCTACATTGTTTAAGGCAAGGGTCCTCAAAGTGTTCAATTTCTATCCCTAAGTTTCAAAGTTACTATTAATTAAATAGTATTTATAAAACTTTATTTATTTTCACATAATAGATAGATAGATAGATAGATAGATAGATAGATAGATAGATAGATAGATAGATAGATTTAAACCATCATTTCTCATGCACGCTTTGTCTCTTTCTCTATCTATCTATCATCTATCTATCTATCTATCTATCTATCTATCTATCTATCTATCTATCTATCTATCCAGGGCTTTTTTTCTCGGAGAAAAGGTGGCGGAACTCAAACCTGGCCACGCCCTCATCAAACCCTAGGACCGCCCCTTTAGAGAACAGGAATGCAAGTAAAATTTGGGAGGGGCTATTTCCGGTGTGGGAGGGGCTATTTCCGGTGCGGCCGGCCCGGAAAAAGGTGCCGGAACGCGGTTCCGCCGCGTTCCGGCTGAAAAAAAGCCCTGTATCTATCTATCTATCTATCTATCTATCTATCTATCTATCTATCTATCTATCTATCTATCTATCTATCTATCTAGAACTGGCAGTTGTGAAGAGATAATATTAACAAAATAGGTTATTCTTATTTAAGTAAAAGTATACATGGCTCAGTATACATGGTGAAAGTGGGTGAAAGTGGCAAGAAGATGACAAGCAACAGGGAGAAAGCAGAACTATTTAACTCATTTTTTGCATCTGTCTTTAAACAAAGGGAAAAAACAGACCAACCTACCAAAAATAGTGCCATAAAAAACAGAATAGAAACGCAAGTTAAGATAAGCAAGAAAATGGTAAATGAGCACCTGTCCAGCCTAGACAAGTTCAAATTACCAGGACCAGATGGATTATACCCCAAAGTTCTCAAGGAACTTGCAAGTGTGATCTCTGAATCATTGAACTACATTTTTCAAAGATCCTGGAGCACTGGGGAACTACCGGATGACTGGAAAAGAGCTGATGTAGTTTCCATCTTCAAAAAAGGAAAAAAAAATGGACTCAGGAAATTACAGACCTATCAGCCTGACCTCAATACCTGGGATGATTCTGGAAAAGATAATCAAACAACGAATCAGCGAACACCTAGAGGCAAACAAAGTCATTACTAAAAGCCAACATGGGTTTGTCAAAAACAGATCATGCCAGACAAATCTTACTGCATTCTTTGACCAAGTGACAAAATTAGTGGATCAGAGGAATGCTGTGGACATAATTTACTTGGACTTCAGTAAGGCATTTGATAAAGTAGATCACAACCTACTACTTGATAAGATAGAAAAATGTGGGTTAGAAAGCATCACCACCCGATGGATCTGTAGCTGGCTGACCAGCCGTACTCAGCATGTGATCCTCAATGGAACCACATCTACATGGAGGGAAGTGTGTAGTGGGGTGCCCCAGGGCTCTGTTCTGGGCCCAGTGTTCTTTAACATCTTCATCAACGATTTGGATGAGGGGATAGATAAGGAAATCATCAAATTTGCAGATGACACCAAGCTGGCAGGAATAGCCAACACTCCAGAAGACAGGCTTAAGATACAGGAAGATCTAGACAGACTTGAACACTGGGCACTATCTAACAAAATGAAATTCAATGGTGAAAAAAGTAAGGTTCTACAATTAGGCAAGAAAAACCAAATGTACAGGTATAGTATAGGGGGTACCTTGCTCAATAGTAGTAACTGTGAGAGGGACCTTGGAGTCCTAGTGGACAATCACTTAAATATGAGCCAGTAGTGTGCTGCAGCTGCCAAAAAGGCCAACACAGTGCTAGGCTGCATTAACAGAGGGATAGAATCAAGATCACATGGAGTATTAATACCACTTTACAATGCCTTGGTAAGGCAACACTTGGAATACTGAATCCAGTTTTGGTCATCACGATGTAAAAAAGATGTTGAGACTCTAGAAAGAGTACAGAGAAGAGCATCAAAGATGATTAGGGGACTGGAGGCTAAAGCGTATAAAGCACCACTGCTGGAATTGGGTATGTCTAGTTTAATGAAGAGAAGGATGAGGGGTGACATGGTAGCCACAAAGAAGAGGGAGTGAAACTATTTTCCAAAGCGCCTGAAGGGAGGACAAGAAGCAACGGATGGAAACTAATCAAGGAGAGAAGCAACCTAGAACTAAGGAGAAGCTTCCTGACACTTAGAACAATTAACCAGTGGAACAACCTGCCTCCAGAAGCGGTGAATGCTCCAACACTGGAAGTCTTTAAAAGAGACTGGACAGCCATTTGTCTGAAATGGTATAGGGTTTCCTGCCTGAGCAGGGGGTTGGACTAGATGACCTCCAAGGTCCCTTCCAACTTTATTATTATTATTATTATTATTATTATTATTATTATTATTATTATTATTATTATTATTATTATTATTATTATTATTATTATTATTATTATTATTATATTGCACTCTTATCTAAAATAGACAAATGTTGCAATTTTACTATTAACAATTCTAATGTTAATAATATTTTATAGGAAGAAGTATGGAATATATTAAATACTATTGCTAATACTAAAATAATAATCTACTTAACTTTTACTCCACCATTGGGACATTAGACAACAGAGATAGCATATCAATATCATAACAATATTACAATATATTATAATATTATAAATAATAATATTAAATACTTATTTATTTACTTATTATTTAAGGTCCTAGGTTATTGTGAAGACCTCAGTGTGTATGAAGTGCTAAAAAATTGGCAGCTGTGAACAGATAATATTAACAAAATATTACTAAATTACTATTCCAGTAAAAGTATGCAATGCTCATATTGTACTCATAACTAAAATAGAGCACTCTTTAAATTTAAATGTTACAATTTACTGTTAATAAATGTTAATAATTACATTAAACTCAATGTTACTCTTGGAAAAAAATGTTGACTATCCTTAAACATTGGTCATTCTTGTTGATAAAAAGGATTGTACTTACTTGTGTTGTTCTGGAAGATCAATGAACCATTTTTTTTTGTTATAATCTTACTTGTGCATTTAAATGTAACAGAGAGCAAGAATATTTTGTCACTCTTGTTTTTCTGCCATAACTCAGAGAGTAATTCATTGGGGATCATCACAATTCCATGAAGAAGCATTGTTTTTCCCACTGGTCTTGGAAACTACATTATGGAATTACACTTGGTTTCTTAATTGCACATTTATTAAACCATGAAAAATATCATGGACTTTTTGGTTCATTGTATCACATTTAGGCAGATTTTCATTCTTTCTGTTCTCTAGCCTAAAAAATCTGAGAGGTTTAATGAGGAAAATAGTTAAATTGTCTTGTCCAACTTTGTGCTCAGTGCAGAATTTACTGCGGCATCAAGATAATTCTCCACCCTGCCACTGATGTTGATACAAAGGAATTGTGAGAAAATTAATAGCAATAGCAATAGCACTTAGAATTATATACTGCTTCATAGTGCTTACAGCATTCTCTGAGTGGTTTACAGATATCAGCATATTGCCCCAACAATCTGGGTTCCCATTTTACTGATCTCAGAAGTTGGAAGGCTGAGTCAACCTTGAGCTGGTCAGGACTGAACTCCTGGCTGGGACAGGAGTTCTAACCATTGCATTCTAACCACTGCACCAACATGGTTCCTGTGTGGATTAAACCAATCAGACCTCAGGAACGAGGTAAACATTGACTGAAAATGAAAACTATGATGGCAGGAATTCCTGCCAATGGGAAATTACCCATGCCCTAGTTACAAACTTTCAGAGGAACCTCTATAACATTATTGAGAAGACCTGAGGTCTTTTGCTCTATTGTTGAACATCAATAGATCACCCATTGCACAAAGCAGAGCTGAGCCAGGAAGAGTAGAAATGATTCCAATGGAATAGTCTTGAAGTATTGATAAGTGCATATCAATCCTTCTAATTTAAGTATCTGAAA